ACACGGCACACGCGCACACTCGCACGTACCGCGCATGCGCGCACGGCGCGCACACACGCGGTCACGCGGGCACGCGGTCACGCGCGCAAGCGCGCGCACGCCCGCACTCGCCAGCCATCCCCCGCACGCCCGCACGCCCGACGCCCGCACGCACGCACGCGCGCACGCCCGCACGCCCGCACGCCCGCACGCCCGCACGCGCCCGCACGCCCCGCACGCCCGCCCCCCGACGCCCGCACGCCCCGCATGCCCCGCACGCGCACTACCCCACGCCCCGCGGCGCCCGCGCGCCCGCGCGCCCCCGCGCGCACCCCGCGCGCCCGCGCGCGCGCGCGCCCTGCCGCCCCCGCGCGCTCCGCGCCGCCCGCACGCCCGCACGCCCGCACGCCCGCCCGCGCGCCCGCGCGCATGCACGCACGCGCACACGCACACGCACACGCACACGCACACGAACACGCACACGCACACGCACACGCACACGCACACGCACACGCACACGCACACGCACACGCACACGCACACGCACACGCACACGCACGCGCACCCGCACCCGCACCCGCACCCGCACCCGCACCCGCACCCGCACGCGCACGCGCACGCGCACGCGCACGCGCACGCGCACGCGCACGCGCACGCGCACGCGCATGCGCACGCGCACGCGCACGCGCACGCGCACGCGCACGCGCACGCGCACGCGCACGCGCACGCGCACGCGCACGCGCACGCTCACGCACACGCACACGCACACGCACACGCACACGCACACGCACACGCGCACGCACACGCACACGCACACACGCACACACACGCACGCACCATTCGGAAGTTTCTTGCGATATGGCTCGTTCGCTTCTCAAGGACAAGGCTCCCAAGCTCGACAAGCGGCAGCGCTTGCTGTTGCAGGCGCCGGCTCCGACTAAGGGTTATGTCTCAACGGGGCCCTGATTTGGATTTCGGTTTCCCTTTGGCTGCCCGCCTAAAAAGCCAACCTTGAAACGGGATCACGCCCAAATCCCAAGGGTTGCCAAGGGCTTCTTTTTGGAGTTGGTAGGCGGCCTCTGGGAATCAAACAAACAAGCAATCAAGCAAGCAAGCAAACAAACAAACAAAAACACAAACATGCAATCAACCGAGCAAACACAGAAAAACACAAAAACAACAGACATACAGTGACGCAAACAAACAACGAAGCAAGCAACCAAACAAACAAACAAACAAACAGAAACAAACAAACAAACAACGAAACAAACACACAAGCATCAAACAAACAAGCAAACAATCAATCAAACAATTAAGCAAGCAAGCGTGCAAGCAAACAAACGAACAACCAAACAAACCAACAAACAAACAATCAAACAAAAATTCAATCAAGCAAGCAAGCAAGCAAGCAAGCAAGCGAGCGCACAAACAAACAAACGAACAAACGAACAAACGAACAAACGAACAAACGAACAAACAAACGAACGAACGAACAAACAAACAATCAAACAAACGAACAAACGAACAAACGAACAAACGAACAAACGAACAAACGAACAAACGAACAAAAGAACAAACGAACAAACGAACAAACGAACAAACGAACAAACGAACAAACGAACAAACGAACAGACGAACAAACGAACAAACGAACAAACGAACAAACAAACAAACGAACAAACGAACAAACGAACAAACGAACAAACGAACAAACAAACAAACAAACCAACAATCCCATCCGAACCGAACGAAACTAACCAAGCCAAACCAAACCAAACAAAACCAAGCAAACTCAAACAAAACCAATCCCAACCAAACCAAGCCACCGACCAAACAAGCAAACAGAAACAAACAAACAATCAAACAAACAATCAAGCAAACAATCAAACAAACAAACAGAAGCAAACAAAACCAGACAAACAAACAAACAAGCAAACACGCAAACACACACACACACACAAACACACACAAACAGACAAACAAACAAACAAACAAACAAAAACAAACACAAACACAAACACAAACACAAACACAAACCAACACAAACACAAACCAACACAAACACAAACAAACAAGCAAACAAACAAACAGACAGACAAACAAGCAACCAACCAAACAAACAAACAAACAAACAATCCCATTCGAACCGAACGAAACTAAACCAAACCAAACCAAACAAAGCCAAACAAACCCAAACAAAATCAAACCCAACCAAACCAAACCACCAAACAAACAAACAAACAGAAGCAAACAAACAATCAAACAAACAAACAATCAAGCAAACAAACAACCAAACAAACAGAAGCAAACAAAACCAGACAAACAATCAAACAATCAAACACAAACAAACAAACAATCAAACAAAAACAAACACAAACACAAACACAAACACAAACACAAACACAAACACAAGCCAACACAAACACAAACAAACAAGCAAACAACCAAACAAACAAACAGACAGACAAACAACCAACCAACCAAACAAACAAACAAACCAACAATCCCATCCGAACCGAACGAAACTAAACCAAACCAAACCAAACAAAGCCAAACAAACCCAAACAAAATCAAACCCAGCCAAACCAAACCACCAAGCAAACAAACAAACAGAAGCAAACAAACAATCAAACAAACAAACAATCAGGCAAACAAACAACCAAACAAACAGAAGCAAACAAAACCAGACAAACAATCAAACAAACAAACACACAAACACAAACAAACAATCAATCAAACAAAAACAAACACAAACACAAACACAAACACAAACACAAACACAAACACAAACACAAACACACACACAAACACAAACACAAACAAACACAAAACACACAAACACACAAACACACAAACACACAAACACACAAATACACGGACACACAAACACACAAACACACAAACACACAAACACACAAACACACAAACACACAAACACACAAACACACGCACAAACACACAAGCGCAAGCGCGCAAACACACCAACACGCAAACACACAAACACATGAACACAGACACACCAACATTCCAACACACCATCACACCAACACACCAACACACAAACACACACACGCACAAAACACACAAACACACAAACGCACAAACAAACAAGCAAACAAAACACCAAACAGACAAACACACAAACAAACAAAGAACGAACAAGCAAACGCACAAAAAAGCAAACAAACAATCGCACAAACATGCAAACAAACAACCAACCAACCAACCAAGCAAGCAAGCAAGCAAGCAAGCAAGCAACCAAGCAAGCAAGCAAGCAAGCAAGCAAGCAAGCAAGCAAGCAAGCAAGCAAGCAAGCAAGCAAGCAAGCAAGGAAACAACCACAAACAACACAAACAGGGGAATAAAGAAAGAAACGAAGAAAGAGAGGAAGAGATAAAGAAAGAAACAAACAAACGCACCAACTCAAGCAAGAAAGCGAGCGAGCAGGCGAGCGAGCAAGCAGCCAGCCAGCCAGCCGCCCACCCGCCCAACCAATCAATCAATCAACCAACCAAACCCCCAAACAGACAAACAATCAAACAAGCAAACAAGCAAACAAGCGCACAGGCAAACAAACACACGAGCAAGCCACAAACAAGCATTCATAGACAGAATGCGAGTAAGCAAGCAATCAAGCAAGCAACCAACCAACCACGCAAACAAGCGCACCAGCAAGCGAACAGGCAAGCAAGCGAGCAAGCCAGCAAGCGAGAGCAAGCAAGCAAGAAAACAAAAAACACAGAGGAACAGCTAAACACACAAACCAACAAACAACCGAACAATCTAACAATCAACCAGACAAATTTACAAACGCTGAAGCGTGCGAGCAACCAAGCAAGCGGAAACAACCAAACAAAGAAACAGAGAACGCAGCACCAGCGAGCACAAGCGCCGGCGCCACCAGCAGCAGCAGCAGCAGGCGCCAGCAGCTGCAGCAAGAGCAGCAGCAACAATTGCAACAGCAACAGGAGCACGGCAATCAGCAACAGGAGCAGGAACTGGAACAGCAACAACGACAGCAACAGCAAAAACAACGCCAACGCCAACACCAACACCAACGCCAGCGCCAGCGACAAGAATAACCACTACCACCACCGCCGCAACAACAACAACAACAACAGCAACAACAGCAGCAACAACAGCAGCAGGAGCAGCGTCAGCAACTGCAACACCAACAGCAGCAGCAACAACAGCAACGGCAACCATCACCGCCAGCGCCACCACCAGCGCAACAACAACAACAACAGCAGCAGCGGCAACAACAGCAACAGCAACAGCAACGGTAGCAGCAACAACACCAACACCGCCACCACTACCAACGACGACCACGACCACAGCAAGAACAACAGCAGCAGCAACGGCCACAAGAACAACAACACCAGCAGCAGCAAAACCACCAAGTCAAGCAGCAGCAACAACAGCAGCAGCAGCGAGCTTCTCTTGCACCCCAAGAGGCCCTTTGCCACAAGCGTGCGGAAGTTCCTGAGGCAATGGACTCACAGCAGATGATGGCGCTGATCTTCCCCTTTTGCTCCAGTCGTGTTGAACAGGCGCCTTGTGGGCGTTGATATCTTGGTAGTGAGGATGGCGCAAGGTTGGGCGTACTTTACTGAAGGACGACTCTGGACCTAAGTAGAGGACAATTTCAGGGGTGCTGCCGACTTGCAGAAAAGCGTGCTTGCGAGCAGTGGTTCATGTTCAAGATGAGAGTGGTAGAAGAATATGTACCAGTTTTTCTTCCCTCTCGAGTGGTAGGAGAGACACATCATAAGCAGGTGATCTCACACGTACTAGATGTCAATTAAAATTATAACCTATGTATCAACTAACAATTTGAGCCCCTTTTTACGGTCCCCCATTTAGGGGCTTCTAGAATCGCCTTCATGTCTGGACTTGCCCGGGCCGCGGTGTTTGATGTTACATTGTGGCGACGCATTAGGTGCAAGCTCGAATTCTCGACTTGCTGGATCATGATATTTGAAGCTGTCGTCAAGGCAAACGTTTTCTGGGGGAAAATGCCTGGGACCACCGCCCCAAAGCAACCAAATGTCTTCCCAATGAACGCGCAGACAAATACCAGGCAGGTTCGTGCGCTGATTTCTGACACCATGTCACAGGTCACGTCACACTCCCAACAACTCATGTTGCATCCCGCGTGCATTAGGCATGTGTATTGGCCAAGTCATGCAGACTCGCAGAGCAAGTGCAAGGTGCCATCCAGCACGCCCGAATCTGAAGTGGCAGCAAGGAGCGGTTGTTTTACATAGAATTTTGGAGAATCTCAGCCTCGCCTTCTCCACGCAATGGATGTACCTTTCGCCCTTGCCGGAAGAGGGTCTTTGTCTCCTGTGCTTTGACTCGCCGTGGAGATGTAGCTTGCTCTCTGGCTTGGGTCATTCCAAGTGGAAGATACATCTGATGTATCGATCTGCCGTCATTCACATGCGTGGTGGTGGCGACAAAGTCTCGCCTTACGACACAATGTATTTGTTTACACGTCCGCATGGATCTTTGGAATTCAACAGCTCGTAGAAGCGTGGATATCAGGGAAGTCACTGATTGTGCATTTCGTTTATTGCCACCAACTACTCTCTGGTTGCTGACAGCGCTTTGGGTCATTTAAGTCTTTCTCCGACGCACAAGAGAAGCTATGAAGGATGCATGACTGCATGAATGACATGATGACCTCAGGCCCCAAGGCCTCTTAAACGGAGGACTGGCGCAATGGAGGGCACTTGCGCAGGGTAGACTGTCCCGTGTAGCTACGCTTATGCAGTCTTGAGCTTCGTTGTTCTGGATGGTTTGGGGTTTCTAGCCTTGCCACGGATCAGCTGAAGCCCCAGACATGTTGGCTACAGTGCCTGCCGCGCCCGATGTTCTTGTTCAGCCAGCAAGCAAACAACCGGGAGGGGGGGGTTGTTGCTGGCGCGCTGCAGGCAGGGCTGCAGCACACAGAAGAGGTGTTGGGCCTGTTGCAGGACTGGGCAGGGGAAACTGGCTGGGTCAACACCAATGGAACCATTTTGAAATAGGCGCCAAGATAGCCTATTTCGGTGGGGATTGGGATGTTCACTGGGGGGGTTTTGACCCATGGCCAACTCTGTGCGTTGAACTGGCAAATGGGCAGACTTCTGTTCGTGAACATGACTCCTTGAAGGAGCAAGCAACTGCTCTGCCGGCCGCCAGCTCAGCTGGACTATTTGATTGAAAGGTGTGGGTATGTGTCCAAATGGCTCCGACCCTGAAAGCACATGGTGTTCTTCCTTTCGTTTTCCCACAACGGGGGCACTAACAACAGCCACACCCACAAACACACAAACACACAAACACACAAACACGCTCACACTCACAAACAGACACGCAAAAACACCACGCCAACGCGCCAACACACCAACGCACCAACACACCAACACGCTAACGCACCAGCGCACCAACACACTTAAACTCCAGATGGAGGGTGCGAATCTTTCGAGTACAACTGGTATGTCTCGGCTTGGATAAGGTTCTTCATGCGTAAGTTTCGGCTCGCAGGGCGCTCGGCTTCCCTCTAGAGGCGAAAACGTTACCCGAAAGAACAAGAAGCGCAAACAGCGCCGCAACCAAGAGGGCCAAATAGACTTTCAGAATCACCGAAGTAGCTCTGGTGCACATCGGGCTTGATGCAGGTACGTCCAGCTGGCCAAGCTGGATATCCCACTTCACTGGTAGTGAAGTGCTGTGTTTTTTTGATTTCATTGTGGTGACAGGGTATTCTGCCACTCCGCACACACACAGTGAGGGGCGAGAAGTCTCTTTTTCTGCAGGAAGATCACATGCTCAACTCCGTATCTCTATCGTTTGCCAAAATATCGACAGCGGCGAGGAGGGCGCGAAACTGCACGAAGCCGCTCAGAAGACGGGAACGAAAGATCACCACGATGTGCTTGACGGGTGCCGCCATAGAAGACCGGAGGAAGATGCAAATCAGTCGGGCGATCACCGTCAGAAATAGGGGGGGCATAGGTGAACATCTCCTCGACCCGGATGATGTCCGAATTCTGCACGTCAACAGGTGATTGATCCTGAGCTTGATGGGTGGAGAAGGACTCAAAGCGAGAAAGAATGCGTTGGTAACCTTGATGTTGCCAGTCGCGAATTGTCCACGCCTGACTGGGCTCACCAGTCCCACCAATTGGATCAGTTACCCGCTTCCACTCCCGAAACGAGTTGTCTGGTAGGTCAGGTACGGCTTCTTCTGGTTGCCACAGCTGAGGTTGTCCTGGAGTATAGATCCGCACCCACTCCTGACCCTGCCAGACTGAATATTCGAGCCATGGGTGCTGCTCATCGGTTCGGCCCAACGTCTGAGTTGCATCCTACAGTGTGGTAAGACTGCGACATGGAGTGAATCTTGACTCATTGAGCATCTGGTTGTTGAGGATCCGGGCACCACTCCAGCCACGGCATGACGGGCGTCATGAACTTCGCTGGTGTGGGCTCTGGAGGAACCGGCATCATGTAGTTGACCGGTGAATGATGGAACTGCTGCGTAGGGTTTGGAATCGATTGATAATTGCCTGGCATCACCGGAAAATTGTTGTTGGAGTTGTAGCCCGAATTGTGTTGCCAGGATACCTGATTGTCATTGTGTTCACGTCGGCGTGCTTTGCGAGATTGAGGGGAAGGACTCCGATCCCGTCTGCGCCGTGTTCTGGATCTGTCACGATCATCCCGTTGAGACATGGTGGCACAACAAACTCAAAACCGCGACACCTCAATCTTGAGAGAAACGAATCCGACAAGATGCAAGTCAACGCAAGTTCAAGCCAAGCACAGATCAACATGCGGTCATGCAGTCAACAGCAGCAATTGTGAGACTTAGCTATGATCTGACGGCTGTCTTCTATGATAAGCACGTTGAGGTCAAATTTTCCGACAGAGTCGGCCCGGGGTCACACGATGGGTACACCCGAGGATTCCCCACGAATGGGGTGTACACACTTAAACTCCAGATGGAGGGTGCGAATCTTTCGAGTACAACTGGTATGTCTCGGCTTGGATAAGGTTCTTCATGCGTAAGTTTCGGCTCGCAGGGCGCTCGGCTTCCCTCTAGAGGCGAAAACGTTACCCGAAAGAACAAGAAGCACAAACAGCGCCGCAACCAAGAGGGCCAAATAGACTTTCAGAATCACCGAAGTAGCTCTGGTGCACATCGGGCTTGATGCAGGTACGTCCAGCTGGCCAAGCTGGATATCCCACTTCACTGGTAGCTTCGTTGGACACAGTCCCAGTGAAGTGCTGTGTCCCCCTGCTTTTAATTGTGGTGACAGGGTATTCTGCCACTCCGCACACACACACAAAACACAAACACACAAACACACAAACACACAAGCACACAAACACACACACACACAAGCGCACAAGCACACAAGCACACAAGCAAGCGCACACAAAACAGACAAGCGCACAAACGCACAAGCGCGCAAGAACAAGTTCACACAAGCACACACACACACTCACACTCACTCACACACACACACAGACACACACACACACACGCCCACGCCCCCCCACGCCCCCACGCCCACACGCCCCACACGCCCACACGCCCACACCCACACGCACACGCACACGCGCACGCGCACGCGCACGCGCACGTGCACGCGTGCACGCGCGCACACGCGCACACGCGCACACGCGCACACGCGCACACGCGCGCACGCACACGCGCACACGCACACGCACACGCGCACACACGCACACACGCACACACGCACACACGCACACGCACACGCACACACGCGCACACACGCGCACACACGCACACACGCACACACGCACACACGCACACACGCACACA